AACTGTCTAATCTATGCCAACCGTCCTCATTCCCTTTGTATTTCTTTGGTGAGAAAGAAAGTTACATTCACTGCTTCCTCCATAGAGTTACTACATTATGGAACACCCTCCTGAGAGGATGCTCCCCAGACCTATAAAATCTTAACCTCTTCAAGGCTAGGTTCAAACATTAGCTATCCTACGTATTCGCATAATCTGTACTTACTTCTTCCTCTTACGGGCATATAGCAAACATAGTCAGTAACCTTCTAACTTGAGTGGCTTTTAAGTCTTGTACTGTGTGAAAATTTAGTTAAAATGTCCTCTTCCTTCTTGTTTCCTTTGTGGCTGCTTTTGCTGAGTAACTTTCCAGAGATCTTCCTATTCATTTATTAAATCGATATCATGTTTTATTGCTGTTGTTGTTGTTGCTTCTTCTTCTTCTTCTTCTTCTTCTTCTTCTTCTTCTTCTTCTTCTTCTTCTAGTAGTTGCGCGGGTGGTGTAATTGATGGCGGCACGGGATGAGAAATTCGAAAGCTGTGTTCTAGTTCCACTCGCATTGATTACACTCACTCACTCCTCGCGTAAATACCCTTGGGAAAGGTATAAATCTGTGTCCTCCCTCATAAGTTATGGGCTAAATAGTAGGACTTGTATCTGTAAAAATCGTCGTCATTCACCAAAAATGTAGTTGCAAAAGAAAAAAAAAATTATTATAATCCAAAATATGTTTTGGCTTTAAATAACCACTAAACGGCTGATAAGCCGTAAAAAAGAAATGAATCATCTTTATTTTTGTTTTTTTAACAAAATTACATTTAATTTTCGTCAGATTTTTCCCATTTTATCAAATGAATAAATTCCATCTTCAACTATTTTAGTAACATTTATAGTAACATTGGTAGCCTCATTTTAGTAACATTGGTAGCCTCATTTTATCATTCTGGTATATTGCATAATATTAGTGGAGCGTTTATACTTTTTTTCTCTGCAGAAAAAAATCGATGGAATATTAATGTAATTTTGATTTATTTGATCATTTTCGTGTCAGTAGTTTCCAACCTATCTGCAGGTTGCTCGACTGGTTTATATAACTTAATATTCACAATCAAAATCGTATAAACCCAAAAGAACAACCCCGGCGATATTTTTTCCGATCAGCGGGCCATGCGTATATTCTTATTTACTTGTGAAATTTTAGCCCGGAAATCATAGGTCGATTCCAGTTGAGGATTAAAGTTTATCGAATAACGGATTAGGCTAACAAGAATATGTTATATGGCGCAGAAAAATTGTTTATTTTTTGTCCCCCAAAAATGTCATTACAAGTTTCTGCTGGAACATAATACTTCCGTTCACTAAATCTGAAACAATAAAAATCGAAGAGATGTCTCTCCTTGCGGAATTGACTAGCAAGTCAATCTCGTAGGCCATTATTACAAGGCTTCTATAAAAATATATATCGTTAAGTTTTCAAATTTTAACGTTCTAAAATATTCTTTAAAATACCTAAGGTAACAATATTTTCTTACTTTTACTGCCTTCCGTTTATTAGGCAATAAATTACATTGTAATAACTACCACCACCATTACATACACACAGTACATAGAAATCATACGACAAGCATTCATTGGTTAATCTACTCAAAAGTAGCTCGCTGATTGGTCAGTTCCGACCAATCAAACCGCCTGCATGCGACAAATCTGTTTTCCCGCTCAATATGTTCTGAGCCTCTCACGTGATAAACAGCCATATAACAAAACACGAATAAGCTCCCTCGTGTTCTCTTCGTTATTTCTCTTCATTCATCTCCTTGCTGCCAAAATGTAATCTTCAAGAACTCCCGTCTTAACCTTGCGCTCAGACGTTACCAACATTCACGCAAGTACGAACTCTTAACACTTCAGTCTCTCATACATCTCAATCCTTCCTGCCAAAATGTAACTTTCAAGAACTCTCGTCTTGACCATGCAGTCAGACGTTAAAGAACATTACCTATTCACGCAAGTACGAACTCTGAAATCTCTTCTGAACTCTTACCCACGTTTACAACTCACATTTCCTAACATGCTAAAAGAACTTTATTCTTCTAAACTACAGTTTAATAATTATTTCTACTTTATGAGCTCAGGTACAAATATTTCCAAATCTAAGAGGTATAACTTTATCAAAACTTCAGTTTATATGCATGTACACCAAACACAAATAAATTCAGTTATGTTTTGAATAATAACATTCTGTTTTGTATTTTATACTACGGGATATTTTACGTCAAATATTAATTGCATTGCGTCCACACATCGTCCTTAATCCCGCCTTTCCTTGTCAAAAGATAAATATATGTAGTACACGCCCTTAGATAATGGTGACAGGCCTCTACAACATCCCTTAGTGCCCTTAATAGTTTACCTTTTTCTTACATAGGTAGCTTTGCATCTAAAAAGCAAGAATAATAAAATGTATTAAAACTACTAATAAAATAATAGTAAAGATGTCGCAACTAAAAAGCAAAAATAACGAAATAGACTGAAATTAGTAACACATTAATAATATTAAGTTAGTAAAAACAAATAATAATATTGTAGCGATACGTAAATGACTACCTAATTAGCTAGGGTATAAGGACAATATAAGTACCTCAAAAAGGAAGGGAAGGGTAGAATATGATATGCGAGTCTTGAGAGCCAGAGTTACACGATTTGGTATGTCGTATGTCGTTTATCATCTTTCAATTGTGTCCTTGGCATCGGATAGAGCGCAACCCATTTGTGTCATTGTGTTCGAAAAAAGCGCAGACGAAAAATTTGAGAGATTCTCCAAACTTACCTTTCCTTTGTAGCTCTTAATAACCTTTTTATTTGTGTTATTTCTCCAAACAATCATTAAATGAAAGAGAATTCCTTTTATAAATTTGGAAGCAAGCAGATATTCTTAAGTATAACATGCAGAGATCCGGGTTCTAAATATTTTACCTTACATCTTTTCAAATAATAATAATAATAATAATTATTATTATTATTATTATTATTCGCGTAACTCTTTCAATATTTTTCAGCAATATATTCCGTTATCTCCAAAACCTTACGAAGGTTGTATATTTAATTTGGATGATTTTCTTTGAAGAGCAGAAGAAATATATACCGTATGTCTGCGTACAAGGCGACCTTTTAACCATAACTACCCCGATAAAAATGTTGGTGACCGTTTTATACTCCAGGTATAAAATGCGAACATTAAATCCTGTGGTTTTTTGGTAAGTTGTTAGAATGGGCAATTTTTGACGGTTGCCTTGCCGCCTTTTTCCAATAATGTTGAACAAACACACAACTGGATGTGTGTCTCGACAAACCCTTTAAAGATAGCATTCAAGAACAGTGGACGAATGGATGGTTATCGGGGAACAGTCATTCAGGCTACCGCATCACCCTACCGAAAACAAAGTACCTAGTCATGAGGTATTGTAGATTGTCGTAGGTAATCAAGAATATCTCCCCACCGTTTTTCCCCCGTTTTTCTGTTAGAATTTGAGTGAAAAAAAATGTATATACTTACTGATTTTATTTAATAAATTCAATACAATACATTGTAAAATGCGATTTGGCGGGGAGTCGTCTTGTACGGCGAAAATAACCCGAAACCTATATTTTAACTTGCATATAATTGGTCGTCTTATACTGCCAGTCTCCTTGTAGGCCACCGTATACGGTACATAAAACAGTTTTATAGTAATCTTTTGCCACTTATTAGGATGTACTTGCGGATAGCTTAACGGTTATCGGAACAGAAAGCGGAGTTTTGTCCTGTTTGTTGCATTCACTTTCACACATATATCTTTATTGCATTCACTTTCACACAATTCTCACCTCTCCACTCCCCTGGTTGTAGATAGGCCTCTCTAGGCTTGATTAGCAACCAGTCTAAAAGAAGGAAAATTCTGAATTCTAGACGGTGGAGAAAGCAAAAGAAAAGCACTCTACTGTCTTTTCCCACGTCCGCACAGTAATTCACATATAATAAAGAAAAGGGACATGTGGAGAGTCATGATCGCATACTTCCTTTGAAGGTTCTATGGTATTAAAAGTTGATGATTATGTATTTGGCAAAATAAATAAATAAATAAAATGTGTTACTTCGAATTGGCTGTTTTATGTTTCGAACTCTCAGAATTGTGACATTTCCTTCCGAAAGCCATCATGTTTATCACCAAGGGAGAAAAAATTGAGCGACAGAAGTTTCAAATGGAAGGTGACAGGTCTTGCACGAATCGCGAAAAACGTTTCCGCATTGCTGTTCTACTGACTTTTGTCTCGCAGAAGAAACATCTTTTCTTAACTTTTCACCCCAGTGGAATTGAACTCTTAACACCATCGTGCGTACATCGAGCCAACGCAGTGACTAAAAATATTGCCCGACATTATGGCGGACATTCCGCATGAATTCACTGCGTAAAAGAAATAAAAGAGGCGCATAGACAGAACCAGTGATGTGAATCGATTTTATCGCTTTGCAAATGGCGTCACTCGAAAGTCAAATGTCTCACCCACGCGAATATCTATTTTTTTATTCACTTTTATTTTTTCTTTTCTTTCGCATTCTTACTTATCCTCTTGTCTTTTTCTTTTTTTTTATTCGGTTTTCTCCTTCTTGTTTTTCGTTCGTCTTTTATAACGTTTCTTTTCTATTCCTTTTGTTTTCTTTTTAACTTATCTCTTTGTTATTCTTCCTTCTTTGCATTCTATTTTTCCCTTTCGTTTCTCTCGCTCCTGTTTTTAAATTCATTTTTACCATGTTTAACCTATGCCAGACTGAATTATATCTCCATAAATATCTCGCATGATCATCAGTTTAGTAATAACACTACGTTTCGTGAACATCTTTCATATAAAAGTCCACCAAAACCTAGAGCGTCACATAAGGCAGAGGGTTAAATTTAAAATTGTTATGATCAATAAGGTTTGATATGAGTGAAAGTTACCGTGATTGGAAGTAAGAATTTAAGATGTATTATATTCCGTGCTA